GCAGTGATTCTCCCCTTCGAAGTTAAAAACCGCATAAATATTTTTTCGGCGAGTTCTCCGGCGCTTTCCTCTCTCGGTTCCTCGGGACCCCACGAAAGCCCATGTCGTCGGTGGTGAAGGGTTAACGACGTCTAGTCGATACGAGTATTCGAGAATACGTAGACCGGCCGGTTTTAATTTCTTGATGTATTCCATTGTCGGGACGAGCCTGTTTGAATAATAGAGAAATGTTTATTTAAGCGGGTTTTGTTATGTAAATGTAATATCGCTTTTAATTTCTAGGATGTCTTTTTTTATGACGCATTGACAATCAACTCGTATCTGGTTACTATAATTTTTAGTAAAATTTTTAATATATAAAATAAAAAACGTTACTTACATATATAAGAAATGAGACAAGTTTTTTAATTTCACATTTTATTTATAGCTGTGTTTTCAAAGTTTGTAGATTATTATTTATAACACTATTTATTGTGTAGCGCGTATAGTGTTGTTGTTAAAACGAATTAAGTATCTTTATAACGCATTTTGAGCGAGATAAAAAACTCAGAGAGAAAGCACAAATGCAACCGATAAAATTACAGTTCTAATCGCGATTGCGAGTGAGAACCACGTTTGGAAGAAAAAGCCAGCGCTACTTTATGTACACGGAGCAAACAAGCCCGAGTTCAGTAATAAACCTATCAAAGACGTACGGCAAGATTACACGGCCACCGGATGCAGGGGCGAGCAATATCTACGCTCTTTTGCAGGTAGTTGAAAGATTGGAAAAATATCCGGATCTCCGTTTGCGTTCTGCGAGCCCACTAGCGAGACTCAAACGAGTCGACCAACTCTCTCTCGGTACTTAATTAATAACGCGAGATAAATATTTACTCAACAAGACACGCCGCATTTTCTTCGCAATCGATTCGAAATATTACGAAAGTTTTGAAACGGTCTTCAATCTTCAATACTCTTCGCGTACTAAAAGTTACATATAATAGAGTTTATAATCATGCTGAATAGGATTTTCTTTAGCAATAAATTTAAATAATATGAAAGCTTTTTAAACCTTTTCATATCGACAATTGAAAGGATGTATAATTATATCTATTTTTTAAAACTGTGTATATTTTTCTTTTACAATAATGAAAGAAAAAAAAGAAACATACAGAAAGATACAGAAATCGGTTTCCTTTCGAACTACTTTGCATGTATACTACGAGCACTTTGTCGCACTGCACTGGCGTTAACAATTTCAATCGTTTTGAGAATGTCAAGTCAATATGAGCACACCCGATTGCGTTAAAAGCACGAGCGAAGAGGTGAAAAAGGTCGTCGTGTGATCCAAGAAGCACCACACCGACGACGGAAGCGCGAGGCAAACGAGGGGGTTGGGTGAAAAGGGGGCGAAGGGGTAAAGGGCCTCGTGCGTTTTCGATGTACAAAAAGTAATTACGGGATGGTTTCCGGTAATCATATCTAGAGCGCATTGAATGAGCGCATTGTTCGGGCACCCCTTCACCGATATGCACTTGTACGCGACGCGCCCACTCCTGCTGCCTTTCCCCTCTTACCTCTCTTTCTCGGTCTACCACTAGAACCTTCCACCCTACCGTGGTATTCGCGACGACCATCGCATACGTACCCCCTGTTACGCGCGCTCGTTCAACCCCGGCGGCGATTGCGGGGGCTGCGGTTACACCACAGGTCGTTCTTGGGTTCGCCACGGGACGCCACCCCCGCTGCCGATGGCGGTTAGTGCCTCGGGCGATCCGAGATTTTTTGAATGCTCCCCGCTACGTTATCGGATCCGAGGTTTTCTGAAGGCGGGTGTATATGATACGGGCGAGAGTCGTGCGCACGAAAATAAGGGAAATTTTCATTATTATTCATCACAAAGATTATCTAGATCGTATACAGTCGACTGATTATAAATTTAAGTCACGAACGTTTCGGATAAATTAATATTTCAGATTGTTTAACTCTAATAAATAACTAAATAAATATTAATCGAAAACATGAGTGAAACGGGGCATATTTATAGTTTTAAAATAAATGACGTAAATGACGTTTGTAGCCATTAATCTTATTTTTTAACATTCTTGTATTTTTCTCTATTTTGTGCCTTTATTTTTAAGTATTTATGCGTTTCTATGAATCAAAATCTTAAATCTTTTTCTCACACCAAAATTTCAATTTAAACATTTCTAAAATTAAATAAGTAGAAAGTTATAAAAAGATTGGAAACGTTTGCACTTTTTATATTCAGAAATTTTTCTCCGCTCTAAAATGACAAAATTGCATTGCCTCTTCGTTGATGAAACGAAGTCCCAAGACGTCGATAGAAAATGACACAGAGACCATGACGTCGTCAGGTGGAACGTCGTGCGAAATTCGATGCGGTCGCGTCGGGTGCAGCCTAAATCCGATCCTCAACGACATCCACGACGGCGCTCTAACGGCCGAGCCTCGGTCGGAGGTTGCGTTTATTGAGTTCGGTTCAAGAGCGTGAGTGCCAACGGTTCGATCGCTCGCTCGCTTTCGTCTTCGAGCTTCTCGTACTCTCGTTTCTCGTTCGCCAGATCGGCTATTCGCCGTCCGCTATTTACGTGCACGCATACGTACGCAACACGTCGAAAAAAAAAAGAACTGCGCTTTTCGCCGGTGGATCGAGAAGCCGAATTCCTCACGCACGAATCACGCGTCGGAGATGCCTTCTTTCGATTTCGTCTCTCGACGAGAAGATCGTCTTACGCGCCTGCTTTGGCTCGACGTTGATTACGGTGCGGCAGAGAATTACGCGATAAAAATAATTGTACGACAGAATTTATCGGCCAAGCGGAGTGTAGGATAAGATAATTCGACGATGCAATGCGAAATTTATTCGTTTCAGCATATTTTTCATACTTTCTGCGTTAAGATCAAGTAAGTTTATGCTTGAGAAAAAAAAGGATAAGAAGTAGAGAGTATTATTAAGCACCGATTTATCAAGCATTCTTTCTAAACTTGTTTTCACGTACATTGTGCCAAAAAATTACAGTATCCAAATCGAGAGTATTTAATTAAACTAGAAAATTGATAGACTAACTATATAAAATGGATTCTAATACGGCAAGTAGATCTATATGAAAAATATTAGACTTAATGATACGGAAAGAACTTTATTTCTTATTTCGTACGAGTATATTAACCCAGAAAGAATATAAATGACAGAGATACGAATTCGCAAATCATTTAACGATCATCAAATTACGTGTATCATTAAATCAAAACTTTGCTTGAGAATAAAAGGCGGCGACAAAATGTGGAAAATGTCGTAGAAAATATCGGGTGTCGACGACTCGGAAAAACTACGTACGAACGACATATCGCAAGAGAGTGGAAGACAACGTAATGCAAGGGAGAGCGAGATGAAAGAGGGTAGAGCGAGTGAGAGGCGAGAAGAGAGCAAAGAGCATGACAAGCGAGGCTGTAGGGGCGCAGGGCTGCGACCCGACTGACCCTACCTCGCTGCCCCGGCCGCCTTCGGAGCCCTCTCTAGCCCTACTCCGCGCACCCTTACCCTCACCCTTAGCCTCCGGGGGTGGATGGAAGGCGGGCCGGCCCATTTTTCGCGCCCCACTTGACTCCACGTCCTCATTGGCTGCCGCCCTCTCGCTCTGACCTCTCTTCCCTCGACCGTCGCTGACACCGTCGGGGTGGACGGCCGCGTTCCTTCCACCTGGGTCCTTCTTCCCGGGGAAAAGAAAGAATAGACGACCGAAGAGACCCGGATGAAACGTTAATCGCTTGTCTATAGATCGTCGCGTCGTTCTTCAACCGGTTAATATCCTTCCAACGGACTTTTGTCAGGCGTTTTTATGACAGTGGAGAATTTTTTTTATTCATAAAATTAAAAAAGAACTGTGAAGGGAGAGATAATGTCAAGTGTCAAGAATGGAAAAATTGTTAGCGAATACATCAAGATTGTCATTCGTTGCGGTGAAGACGTTCGGAACAAATCGGAGCGACGATCGGCGGAAATAATCGGCGGGCGGATTAAGTTGAAGCGGGCGGAAAGAAGCGATAGGAATCGCGCGGGATTAAAACGGAGCTCGAGGTGGAGTTGGGCGAATCGAATACCCGGCTCCCTCCGGAGAAGACAGTTGCTCGACGGCGCTTAGAGGCGGCGATGACGACTCATGGTAGCGGTCGCGGTCGGTTTGATAAAAAGCGTAGTAATATGATCAGCAGGTTGAGGAATCCGGAGAGCTCGGAGAGTCCGCGAGAAAAGAGCGGTGGAGAGCGGTGGTGGAACACGCGGCGCGCGAGGAAGAAGGAGAGAAGACGAGAGATGAGCGATAAGGAGAACCGCGGAGCACTTGTCTCGCGGAGTTCGCGTATAGAAGAAGAAGAGGGACAGAGACGGAGAGAGGGGTAAAAAGACGAAGAGGATGGAACGAGGGAGAGCAGGATGAATAGACCGACGGCAGACGGATAGATAGACGAAGAAGCGAGAGCGAGCGAGGCGCCGGTGCTCCGAGCGAGACAGCACGCATCGAAGGAAGGAGATGCTCTCGTCGCGAGCGCGTACAGAGAAAGAGGGGAAAGCGACGACTAGATCGAGGAGTCAAAGTGGGTACGGAACTACTTGGTCGGGCAACGCGTGCTGGTTCAGTCGAGGTAGGGCAGGCCCGTAGCCAATGAGAGGCCGGCCGGGGCGCGCCCGGGACTCCGACCCCACCTTCGGCAGCCATGGTAACCGGTAGAACCCGCGAGAAACCCTCGCGAGTTCGCGATAGTGGGGGCCCCCAGGTCGGTGTCAGGGGTCGTCTTCGTCGGCAGTCGGTCTCTGGTCGGCCCCAAGAATAGTCGTATCGAGGCGGTAGTCGAGTATCACCTCTCTTCTTCTTCTCCTTCTCCTCCTACT